CAGATCCATTTTTGGTCCCTGACTTCCAGCTCATTAAGGCAAATCCCTGAATTTCTCTGCGCCTCCCTTCCCTCACTGGAGGCTAGGGCAATTTCTCCTGCTCCCTCTCTATCCTTTTTTGCTAAAAATGTAAGTAAGTAAGTTCTTTAAGGCTGCAGTTTGTGCAGGCTGGTGTCCAGCAGCAGGTCTCCCACCCATAGGGTTTACAGCCCCGTCACTGGCAAGGTAAAACGATGGGCATGAACCAAGTGGGTGAAGAAGGGAGCAATGGGACCTGCTGACATTAGCATCTCTAACTCCATAGTGGTGAGAGTTTTCTGGCCAAAGCAAGGGCAGAGCTGCTTTTAGGGGTCAGGCTGGGTCACAAGGAAAGTATATATGATGTCTGGATAGAGGAAACATCTATCCTCCCCATCTGAAAGCCATCTTGCAGGACAGTCCTGGTAGCCTTGGCTATGAAGCCACGGCTTTCATTTCCCTGCCTGTTGGTTAGTGAGGGAGGCAAATGCAGACCAAATTAGGAATGAAAGATCTGTTTGCCAGGTTCCTGCTTGGGGCGTGAGAGGCAGCAGAGGTGCCCTGTGTCACGGTGCTGCCCACAATGCAGGACTGATGCTTCCTCCTCCCTCCCCACCTGCAGCTCAGGGCTGCAGCACGGACCTGGCCATGGACCAGAGCTCCGCTGTCAGCTGGTGATGCATTTGAAACCCTGTCCACCCTGCTCGGGTCTCCTGCGTTTGTGGTGATGGACCGTGTCCTGGCTTGTCCTTGCTGAGTGATCCCTAATCTCTTACATCTTTTAATTAGGGCAATTTCTTTTGTCCTGCTGGAAATGCTTTTCTCATGTAGATTAATTAAAAATAAAGCCAACTCTGACAAGTTAATGTGCTGTGAGCTCTGGTCAGGATGCAGGCAGCTTTCTAAGCCATTATTGATGACACTGTTCTTGCTTCTTATTTACTTCTAAACCGTGTTTTGTGGGAACTGGGGACAGCAGTCGTTCTCTGTAAAGTTACAGGCAGAATTAATCCAGCTGTGAGGGCAAAGCTGTGTATGAAACATCACCTGAAGCCCTGTGGGCTTCAAAGCCCATCCCATGCTGCTGAAAGCAGTGGCATGATGCCAGATGCCCTTGGGCAGCTCCTTTGTTTCAGGATTTGCACCTCTGGTCAGCAGGGGTTCCTGGCTTAAAACCTTGCAGTTCAGCTATTTAAAGGCATGTTAATGGTTTCTGCTGTTTGCTCCCTTTCTGTTAGAGGCAGCTGACTGGTTTGGTCTTTGCAAAGTGTGAAACAGTTGTCTGAAGACTTGGGCGGTCAACAAATCAATATTGTCTAGTTAATGGCTTTGTTCTGATCTTCCTCAGGGTGTCTATTTAAGTTCTAGTTTGACTGGCCTGCAGGATTTGCAGAATTAAGACGATCTCTTGGAGAGTGTTCACCCTTGTGTGGATGACTTCATCTTTCTCTAACATATTTCCCATAAAAAGTCATAATTTTGTATCTACAAAGAGTTGGGGCAAAGTTCCATTCCTTCGCAGTATGAATTTGTCCAAGGAATATTAAATCCTATATTTCAAAGCCAAAAGTAAGAGCTGTTACAGATGGGATCAAATCTAACCCAGCAGGTGGGTTGATGTGACACTGGCCTGCCATGGGGTCCCACCGGTGATGGGAGGGGACCTGCACATCTCAGGTCTAATCCGATCTGGGACTCACCTACGTTGATTTTTCCTCTTCAAACTCTCCAAGTTCTCTCAGGGATCTTTTAGTAAGGTTTCTTAATTTTAATTTCTTATAAACAGAGCTTGGAGAATAAACCATGAACTTAACATTGTTTCTGCTGATAGCACATTAATACATAGTGTGCAGCTTCCTTGGGTGTGTTCCTGGGACCAGATGAGAAAAGCACTCTGATGAAGTGGGGTTTTGCTTGTCATGAATATTTATATAAGAAGTCTCAGTGCCTTGACAGTTCCGCGAATGTAAATGCAAAAGGGAAGGAGCAGATTTTTTTTAACAGTGGTTTTTTTATACATATTTTAATCTACTTTCAAAGCCCTAGAAAATATTATGCTCTTTTATAGCAAATTCCTGAATGCAGAGCAGCATGCTAACTAGCTGTGGCAGGGCTGCACTGCTTCACTTATACAGCTGCTATAAGGACAGCAGGCAGTAGCTGATGGGGCACGGTTGTACCTCCGCCTGGGCCCACGTAACTCAGCAAAGCTGTTCTCAGTACGGTGTTACTTGTGCTGACCAGAACATGCATTGCCTGCAATATTCAGCCGTACGAGAACATTCCTGTTGGCATTGCTGGACTTTAAGACAGGTGTTTTGTTGAGTTGCATTTAAATGTACAAAATGTAAGTGCATCATAATGTTTCCACTTAACTTTCTCGTGCGACTTGGCATGCGATATCATCAGAAACGGAAACTATGGTGGTTATTGTATGTTCTACCTAGAATAATTCTGCTTAAATTCCTAGGAGATGCTAAAACACTGAATGGGAAGGGTAAAGCAATGCTTTGACCAGGAGCCAGATGTAGAGCTGTAATGAAATTAATTTTTAAGACAGTGCTGTGGCAACAGGGCAGATTTTCCAAAACTCGAAAAGGTTTTACACAGTGGCTGGAAATGGGGGGGAGGGGAAGCAGTATCACCATGAAAGATATTCCTTCTTCTTATGGGGAAAAATGAATATTTGCAGTCAGCAACATTTTCTGGTTTAAGTAGCGGAAGACAGCCCCAAATGATGAATTATCATTCTTGCAAATATTATTACTTGCCGTGTCTGTCTTCTTACGCTGGCATCTGATACTCTCTGCTGCACGTTGACATTTAGGTGTTTCATCATGACACTACATTGCAAGAGCTGTCATGCAAAAGCAACAGATTTCCCACATTTGCAAACAAGGGCTATGGGAAACGCTACCCTGTGCTGGAGCGCTGTGAAGTACCACTTACCCAGGTGGGGTAATCCAGGGGCAAACACCGTTTCAGTTGTCTTGCCAGCTAAAGCCTGTAAACTTCAATGTTACCCATTTGACTTTTGGTTGCACACTCAGTACCAGCACTATGCTTGTCTGAAGCCAGCCGAGCTGAATTTCTGTTCTTAGAAGGCAATTTTACAAGCACATTAATAGGGATACAATAATTCCAAATTAAGCACCACAAACAAGGAGTCATTTTTGCAGACTATAGTTGGTCACAGAACCTTTAATTTCTTAGTTTTATTCCTTTTAAACATATTGTAGTTTAAGTTTTGCTTTTTGACTCTTTGGGGCTTCAGAATTCCTATGGCAAAATTGCTTTATATAAAGATTTCGTTGTTCACACATCGCAGAAAAGCAAAAAAATGTCCATGTATTGGATAGTCAAAAGATCAGGCAAATATTTCACTCAATGTACAACAAAATATTATGAGGTAATTTTATTTTTTTCCCATTTTTAGGTAAAAATATTACAGTATACAAGATAATCTTATTAAAGGTAAAAATACAGTATTTTGCTTTTTCTCTAAACAGATCTACGTACAGTACACTTTTTTATTTTGTTTTCTTTTTTTTTTTTTGGTACAAATATAACTATTATTCTATTAGGCTATCTGTGTTCTCATCTGGCACTTAAGAACTGATCACAGGTCACCTTCTGGTTCTGCTTGTTTTGTCTTAGCTGATACCTAAATGTAATGTTCATCTTATAGATGTCTCTTGTAAACAAACAGTTCAGTTCAGTGGTTCCCAAGTAGTAAGGTGTGCTTTGAGTAGTTGAAGTCATGTAGCTAAACGTAAAAACCCAAGCAATCCCAGTTTGCAGTCGTGTTGCGCAGACTCCTCACTTTCCAGTCGTAAAAGTGCAATCCAAGTACTTGTATTACTGCAGCCTTTGAAACGGTTTTAATCCCTTCCTCATCCTCTGTAAGAGCCAAACACATAAAACAATAATTTCTACAATGATTTTTCCTTTTTTTGTCAGAATATTCTTAGCGGAATTGAAGCCTTTTTGTATTGATTTAAAGGTTTGAAACTACTGGGCTATGTTCTTCATGATTTATCTTGCCCTATGGCTTGCTGTTTGACCTCTGGAATCCGAAAGCTGAGCTCAGTTGCATCACTGTCGCTGGATTAATGTTGTTCCTTGAACTGAACACATTAGCACAATACATGTTATTTCTGGGTATTCCTGGGAAGTGAGTTTCACACCATTATGAATATTTCAGTACACTGCTGTTGAAGCTGGGATCATCTAAGGATAAAAGAGAGTCTAGGTGTGTACAAAGAGATCATATCCATTAGTGGACTAGCTAATATAGCTGGAAAAGGCAGGGAGGAGTTTTTGGCCAGGAATCCCTTTATCAGGTTGCGGCAGAGGAGTGAAAGGAGGCTTTACCCAACAAGCTTGGTCCATTTTTTTCCAACGCTGTCATCCAGTCTAAAAAGCAGATGACCTCTACCTGCCATACTTTACCTCGGTGATTTCAGCAGATTTCTCATTTGCTTTCCATTAACCACAGTGCTGTTCAAAGTTATCTTCATGGATGCCCATGTAAACATAAAAGGAGAGTACACATCCAAGGATAGGAATTTTTAAAATTTTTCAAGGAATATGGTTGGCACATTTTTTCTTCAGACTTCACCCAATTCTGATTAGTACAGTCTCAGTTGGTATAAATGAGCACAGTTGCATTGTCTTCACTAGAGTCAGATGGGTGAAGATCGGGCATTTTTGCCTTTAACTAGATGTGCCTTCCCTATGGTGCATCTATTTCTGATGTCAAAGGGCATATATTTTTACCAGTAAGTCACTTTTGTATCATAAAAGATTTAACTGGTAACTCATCAAGCACAGGAGTAATGCAAAGTGCTCCTACCAATACTTGCTAATGAGCAAAAGTTGAGTGTGCAGTACCCATCTTTTGCATGGTTTTTGCCCTCCTAAGATGCTGGTTGAGACTGAGTAATGTTTAGAAAACCAGTTGCCTTTCTCTGTGTTCACCATCAAATGTCCTTATTTAAGTTCTTCCCAAATTTGTCGCTCAGCTGCTGTATTAGTCTTGCCAGCTCGCCAGTAGCCTGTGACTTTTCCTCTAGGAGTTCATAGCGGAGACTAGAAATATCTTGCTTAATCTCTTTAAGTTCTCCTAAAAGGAGGAAAATGTTCTTGTTAGCAATATTGAACCAAATAAGTAATCCCTATGGTTTTTAAGACCTGAGAAAGCATTAATTTCAGTGTGCTTGGTCATGAATGCGTATGGAGCTCCATACGATGTCCCTGCATTTATGTACTTAATACTTGACTTACACGAAATAACCTGTACTTGTGGTAGTGGTACTGACAGCAATAGCAAGTGTGTGTGGCAAGTTCATCTTTTTTCTCAAGTCTATTCTCTCTCCCCATATTGCTCTCCAGCTACATAGGGCATTTGCAGGAGGGTAGCAGTTAAGAGGTGTTAGAAGAAGGTTCTTTACCGTCTGCATACAAATCCTACATGACACCGTGGCCATAAATATCCTTATCCAGTTCAAAAAAAGTCCTTGGGGCAGGCATGGGCAGTACAGTCAGAAATTCCTTTACTTAGACCCCAAGACAAGGTTAGGTGTTGGCAATATCGTGGGTGTTGTAAAGCAAGGAGAGGTAGAGCTATGGGGCAGAGCAGGACTATGTAAAGGCAGAGCCTATGATATATGTCTTCTGCTAAGGAAAATTAAGGACCCAGGATTTCAAGAGCATAAAGGTGGCTCAGAGTCACCACTGCTCACCTCAGTGCGAGCATGAGCGTGCTCTCTCTACAGAGGATGTTATCTAAGCTCAACCCTCTTACTGGCCATATCAATAGCAATAACATTACATGCTCTAATCTGTGTCAACTATAAAAATCCACTTGCCTTCATTGACCTCATCATTTTCTCGGTCAACCTGAGCCTTCAGTACATATCGCTTAATCAGACGTTTCATTATTTTCTGAAAAGAGAACAGAAACGCTTATTTTAACATGAGCTTATCCACGTTGCCTTAATTCTAGACTTATTATGAGCAATTCAAACACCTGATTTCACTATGGATAAAACCTGACTTCAGAGGATGCAAAAAGAATTTTTTAAATTGATTTCCCATTTATTTTATACTTTATATTATGAGCTTTGTACTACAATAGTTGATTGACAGCCATTCCATAATGAGGCCACATACGAGGCACTTCAGGGTATTTAGTGGGATGCACATGAACGTAGAGTATGTCCCACAGACAGGAATAAAACACAGATGATCCAATAGCAAGCTCAGAAATGGGATCCAGAGCCTTCCTTTGGCATGTTGCTGTTTAATGTATCAATAAAAAATACTTTCCAGGAGAAATAAGTAAGTGGTTAATTAATGATGTTGGCAAACTCACTCGTGATGATGAACTAAATATCTGACCCCAGGTTAATAGAAAGATTCGGTTTGCTTTGGAATTGGGGTTTTAGGAGAGAAATAAATTTAGTGAAGGATAGAGAAAAGAAAGTTTGAACAGAAGTGGAGAACTTGGCTTAAGTGAGAGAATTTTCTTAGGGAAATGGCAGATTTTAAGGGACAAGTACAGGGAAAAAATAGAGCCATGTAGACTTATAAAATGGGAGATGATTGTTAGTAAGGAACAGCATACATAGAAATAGTAGGAGATGATTATGGATACAAGCTTGCAATGTGATATTGTTCCAAAAATGCATAAGTTACATTTATCTAGAAGGAAAGTAACTTTGGCAGTCTTGGGCTACACATTGGGTTACAGCTGAAGGCCTGCCTCATTGCCAGTTCTTCACTACAGAGAAGATACTCATCAATGGGGAAAAAAAATCTCAACTCTGATAAACGTAAGAAGGATTGCTCTATCAGAGACAACGATGTAGGTGCATCCTCTGCAAAGAGAGGAGAGCTCATTGAGCATCCAAGAAGAGAGCCACAAATGTCTTTCATTGACAAAATGGCCACTGTTAAGGGAAAAGCCTCTCCCGGCATGGGCTCACCTATTCACAGAGCAGTCACACGTCTCTGCTTTGAACATCACTGAAAAAGGCTGCAAAGCGTGTGAAGTATGAATTAAGACATCAGTACACCTGCTCTTTTTTCTTAGTAGCCAAATATGGATTATAGCAGTGCAAAAGGCATGTGAACATCAAAGAAGGATCCAGTCATTTGTATATGTCATGCAGTCATGGAATATGGGATGTCTAAGATTGTCCTTGTATCAAAGAGGCATCTGGCTAACCGGGTGAGTCATTAAGGCAACAGAGATGAGGCACAGCGCACGTACGGTGTGTTGAAGATGGCCAAGGTAGTAGAATCCAGAGGGAGGTAGGGTTGTCACCTGAGAAAACATAAATGAAGTAATGTTTGGGGAAAGTAGGGAAATCCTGGACCCAAAAAGAAATTATTTTCTCAGAACAGACGACAGAGGAAATTTAGACTAAAACAAGGAATCGGCACACAGTGAATGCTCTTATTACCTGGAAAAAATATAACACAACATCTGTCTACTTCAGTTTCCATACAGCTTGTATTTTTGATGGCTACTACTCAAGTGCTATCCTATATTAACCATTACGTGCGATAGAAGTCACAAGCTTAAGGCTGCCTAGTCTATCAAATACATGTTGTAGTCAGATTTGTCCGCAGAAACTAAACATTAAAAATGTGACCACTTTTTAACAAGAGTTTACTTGGTCACTTAGTAGATATTTCTGCCAGTAGCTTTAGGAAAATAATTCATTTTTGTGTCAATATTGCACTGTGGCTTCTAAGTCTTGCTTCTCCCCTTCTCCCCAGCACTGCTCCTTTTAGCTACAATGAGTGAAACAGCCTCTTGGCAGAATAACCCTGGTTACTGCAGGGGAACGCCGACCAAAACTTCCAGACAGCCTCTTGGTAATGAATGCTAAACTGGAAACAATTCAAATATGTCTGATTTCTATAAAGTACTGTTCCCCCATTCTCTAAAAGTTAATTGAAGTTCTTCAGGTCTTAGAGATCTTTTATACTATGCAACACTCAACTACTGAGTGTTGGTCTTAAGATGGTCTTAAGAGAATAGGCTCTAGGAACAGGTCAGCCATTTGTAAAGTATAACTCTGCACTGAATTCAATCTTTTTTATGTATTTATTGGCACAACCTTCAAGCTCTGCATTTGCCATCAGCTACCTGAACACCTTCTATACCTTCTAGTACAGAGGGAAACGAGAAGAAAAGGACAGATTTGTGGCCAAGGCACTGCAACAGGACTCATGAGATTTGGGGCTCAGTTTCTGGTTCATCCATAGGCCTTCTGGGTCTAATAAGTCCTGCTGGACCTCAGTTCCCTGTCTTTAATGTGGAGGCCATGATGTCTTCCCACTTCACTATTTATAGTGTTTTATTCTGGACTTCACTTATATGTGCTGTTGAAGATTACGTTGTTACAGACCTTAATACTGCTATTTAATTCACAGATTTCTTCTTGATGCTGTGTTTGCGGACACTGCAGACGTCATTTGGCATGAGCGTGGGAGGTCCCAGGGCAACACTAATGGGAGGAAATGCTTTGCACCTTCATGCCCCTGGTCCAAATCGGTCGCAAGTCAACAGTGATCAGAGGGGACAACTACTCACTGGGGCATCAGATCTCAAACCTGGTGCTTTCAAATTTATCAAGTTATCAGTTAGGCAGCAGAAGAGCTCGAGAGTGAAGTGAGCAAAGGAATTTGCTCATTTCTCACCTCTTTGCTATTTTGTCTCTCCAAATAGTAAAGAAATGTACTTCTGAGTTCTTTGCTATTTTGTCTCTCCAAATAGTAATGTACTTCTGAGCCTTTTAAAGTACAAACTATTCCTTTTATTGTTTTCCTGACAAATCCCTTCCTGAGTTTTGTACATGAAGACATTGATGATAGCATGACAGGCTGCAGTGCTGAAAGTGGGAAAAACTTGTGAGCTTAGCACAGCATTTTAGCAGTGCTCCATCTTAAAGTCTCAGCTCAAGAGGGTTTGATAAAGGCATCATTTTGCCTGGACTAGTTTATTCCTGGATCACGGCAGCTGTGTGTTGACTTGTTCTTCCTACTTTTCAAATTATTGCATGTTTAGGTTCCGTATATTTTTGTTATCCCTCAAGAGCACTGTCTGTAAGTACATACCCTCCAAGTACACAAACTGCAGATATGTCACTTGATAAATACCACTAAAGAAAACAGTTCAGCAAGAAGCTGCTGCTTCAAAGGTTTTCCCAGTTGTAGAAGGAAACTTGCTGGCCAGATTATCGAACTATTTGTTCTTCTTTATATTTAGATAATCAAGACTATTACAGTCTCCTTATATTATTCGAGCAATTTCTTCCTGCAGCAAATGAAACTTTCTGAGACCATTTGAAGACAAACCTAGTAGGAGCATTATTAAAGCAAAATAACAGGTAGTTATCTTTTTCTACCTACTTTTCACAGCTGCCTTTGGCTTTTTCAACCTTGGAAATATTTGGTCTACTTTACCACAAACGTTAGGTGGTCTCATTTAGAAATAATAGCTACAGGAAGAGAACATGTCCAGCAGAGGCTGACACATTTTTCCATTACCTGTGGGTTTGAACGAATGGGAAAATATCAGAAATGCTGAAATGCCATTTTGAGCGGGACACAATCATCTCTTCCCTTTGCCTTTGATGGTATCAAGCCAACTAACTCCAGATGCCAGAGTGAATGTATCCCATTTCTAACTTAGATTTTCAGACACACCTTCTATCCTGGCACAAAAGCCTGGAAAACTTTTAAAACCAGTAAAAAATTTATTACTGGCCCTGCTGTACAGCCTAGGAGCCCATTGTGCTGGATGCTGTACCAACACAAGACAAACCAATTCTAGAATTGCCATTGCGCATTTTATCCAATTTAACTATTACTTTCCTCAACTGTCTTTAGTGTCAGTTCCTTCAGACATATCACTTGCCATCAGATTCCTTTTCACTTTACGTTAAAAAATAAGGAAAAAATCCTGCGGGGCACATTTTGCGTATTGTGTTACCCTACTACACGTTTGCACAAGAAATAATACATCTGCTGGCATGAACACTCCAGCTGAGACAGACAGTCACGTTAGTTCCTGCGATGGCTGGGGTACCCCGTGCCGCTACTGCAGCCACACGTATTTTTGAACCGTACCACATTGCAGGTTTAGCTTGGTAGGACAAGTCACTGCCAGAGAAAGCACATGCAAATGTTAATGCAAAGGCTGGAAAGATGACTCTATGTCATGACACATGAAATGTTGTCAATGCAAGACTGGAGGATTAAAGCTTGAATGATATTTCTTGTATTAAATTAAATACCCTTGAGTGGAATTAATTAGCATCACAAACGCTAACACTATGTGTATTTCCATGGGTGATAGGCTGCGTTTGTCTCCGAAGTGCCCCAGCCCGGTCCCGTGCCCGTGCTAAGCCACAGCCTGGCACATCACAGGATGGCATCGACTGGAAGAAAGCAGACATGACCCTTGCAGGTAAGAGCTGTTGACTGACAGATCTCTTCCCTGGCTCCTGCTTTCGTGCTGTGATTACCTGATATCTTGTGGGCTTGTTATAAGCATTCTTCCCAGAAAAAATTTCTGTATTTCGAGTGCTAGAGTGAAAACGAACTTTCTGAAATTATAAAAGATCATGATATAATTAAATCAGTGATAGCTTCTCATACCCAGACAGTCCCAAACTAAATAGAGCTTTATAAAAACAGTAGGAAATGGTTCAATGTATGAGTAGAATAAAAGCCAGCACATTCAGGTCTAAAAAAGTAAACTTTTGAAACATGGAAAAGGGTCAAAACCCGCAAATTACTGAAAAAAGTTGGATCTTAAATTGTCTAGACAAAAATTGTATTCTCACACAGGTTTTAGTCAAGGTGTTAAGAGGCACAAAATATATTAATTTTAATTAGATTGGTGATTATCAATTTAGAACACAATTCAAGAAAGGAAGAAAAATATTTACTTGTGTTTAAAGAGAACAAATCAATGTGGTATGAAAACAAATTCTGAAACAGAATTGATTTTATTCAGTCCTTTTAAAACAGTAGTACCATTTGCTACTTCTTTAGCTCAACAAAAATATACATTTTTTTTTAGATAGAGCAGTATTTTTTATCAGCAGACATCATAGCTACTAATTTTGTACTCTAGAAGCTTTGAAGGAGACTTTTCTGAAGACTACTCAAAATATTTGTAAGATTTGACTGTTTTCCAGCTCTGAAATTTTTGGTCCAAGTTCTAATGAAAAAGAAATCACTTATTCAAAGGAATTAATTCATATCATAGACCCAGAGGAGCCAATACATATCACAGACCCCTGCACCTATATGCAAGTGTATGTACAGGGAAGGCCCTGGGTAAGGGTTTTTCTTCCCTGACTGGGCCAGAGATCCTGAGAAATAGGTGATTTTTTTTTCATTATTATTTTTTTTTTAAATCAGGATGCTGATAATGATTGGAGTAAAAGTCTGAAGTAATCATGTAATTTTTTTTTTTTTATTTCTCACTCATCAGGTGTGCCATGTTCTTACAGAGGCTGTTTTGAAGATTATCTGTGAACAAAATTAACAGGCAAGCAAGAAATGACGGATACTCTTAATTGGTTATGCCAAAGCCATGGAAACCATGAATTTTGCATAAGTTCCATGAAAAAGGGCAAGCCAGACACTTTCACTCATGTGGCTTGGGGAAGGAGATGCTTAGAGAAAATTTTATTACTTTGGTTTATGCTTTGAAGCAGAAATTAAATTTCAAACAAAGCGAGCTTCATGTGGTTAGATTCAAATAACGTGGTAAAAATATTATCTTTTTTAATCATTATTTGATCTTTGTTAAAGGACAAACATTTCTTTCATTTCAAGACTCCACTGTTCTAGTGAGTCTTTCAGTAATCAATAGTAGTGTTAAATGAATTTATAGAGTAAAATGCCCCCAAATGCTTGTCTATCTTGGCAATGCTCACCATGTTGGGTAGATTAATTGATAACATGGAGGAGACCCCATGGATATACTTCTCCCTCCAATTTAGACTCTGGCAGAGACTGAATGAACATCAGACCTGAGCAGCTCTCTTAAATTCATGGGAGCATGATCTCCTCCAAGGCCGTGGGCTTTGCCTGGAGCCAGCCGGCTCACCATGAGTTGTTGTATTGCTCAGCTGTTTGCTCCTTCAAGGAGAGCCAAGAGGTCCAGACAAAGCCCAAAAGCAGGCTGCACGTTACAAAGGCAAAGTCTGCAAAGCCTCCTCCAACTTTCCTTCCCTTCTCCTCGGTGGCTCTTAGTACACCTCTTCCCTTCCACCAGCTTAAAACTGGGGGGTAGGCTGCCCACACCTCAGCTGCCCTAGAAAGGCTGGCCAAGCCTGTCAAGGAGCCACATCAGCCTCCCACATGCAGTGACTGTAAGAAATAATAGACAACACATTTCAGAGGGCTTTTCTTTTCCCCCAGGAATGGGTTCCCAGTGTTGTTCTCTTGTTTCAAACCCAGCTTGAGATGAGAAAAATTAAATGAAGTCCAGGACACTTTTAAGCAAAGCTGCCTCCTCGCATCTTTGAATCCACTGAATTTAATGACAGCAGCCAAGCAGCTGTGGTTGAGTTCCTGTGAATGTTTTGGGCATTTTCTTCTCCAGTGTAAAGCAGGTGGACTTGCCCTGTGAGTGGGATTGTGTTTGTTATAAAGGTATGTGCTGGGAATGCTTCATCCCAGTGACGCTCTGCACAGTGTTGCAGATAATAATGTCCACGGGCAACATGAGTTTCTCTATTTTTTCTGGCATTTTCCCATGGGGGAGCAAAGCTAATTCTGTTGGGAAGGGTCTGGATGCTAACCATATTCTTGCACCTCTCTTGCTTTGTCATGTGGACACTCACTAGTGCTGAGAAAAGCGTGTTGCTGTGTAGCCAGTATTTCTAAAGCAAATTTCTATTTCAAATGGCTAAAGGGGTGGTGGCTGAGGCAAGATCTACCCACTAGTGGCTACACATCACTAAGCATATGTAAGGCTGTTAATTATACCTTTAGGTATTTAGGAGGTGTTATTAAGCCCTGCTTGGAAACTTGTTCCCAAACCTGGAATGGCAGAAAATGTTGTAATGGCAGTAAAATTAATTAATCGCTTAAAGGAAGGTGGATGTTTTGAAGAGGCATAAAGGCCTGCTGGGTAGATGAGGAGCCAGACAAGCTGGGATCCTATCTGTGCCTCTGCTTCTGCCCTTGGTCTTTGACCTTGCTGATATGGCCTTGGGAAACTCCCTTGTAAAAGTGCCTGCTTTTATAAAAGTTGCTCTTTTCCCCGTGTCCTGACAGTGCCTAGTACAATGAGGCCACAAGTCTGGGAGGACCCTCTAGGTGCAATGTAATACAACTCATACGCAATGATGAGGCTGAGTAAGAGGCTGTGCTGTCCCTGATCACCGGTGTACCATGCAACCCCCTCCAGAAGGTCCCTGGCATGAATCTTTTCTACAAAGAATGTAAAAAGTGAAGATACAACATACCCGTTGTTTGGAATTCAGCATCCCCATCTCAAGATCATTTTCACAGTTTTTGGCCTTAGATTTGCAGAGTTTTATGAGGCACATTTTTATTCTCAGTATGAGATAATAAAATGATTTAGGGCTTGGCACTAGATTAAAAGGAGCAGGTAAAGTCCTTCCTTCGTCAAAGTAGGATAGCCAGAGCTTGGCACGTGCAAACTTCCACTCCACATCTGCATCCTCCTTGGGAAGGGAAGAGGAAAAAAAAACCAACACCCGAATGCATAATTAGTAAATAGGAAGGCATTTACCTATGACAAGGACAAACATACATGTAGGGTTTAACTAGGATCAGATTTCTATTTGCCAAACCAAGACCCCTGCACACCACGTGTCTTTGTAGGCTTCTCTGTGGTGACCTCAAAATAAGGAAAATTTGAACAAAGCAGTAGATAAACAGAGAGTATAAGTCCTCCAAATACTAGACTATTTCCTATTTCCTTGGATGTCAAAGGGGTTGCCTTTCAGTAACAATCTGGTGCTTGTGCTATGCTGATAAATGAATGTGTCAGAACATATAGAGAGTCATGGAAAGCAGAAGAAATTTTTATGTGCACAACAACAACAAAGACACTCTATGATTAACTGCAGTGCTATCTAACTGCCAGCTAACTGTTATCACTGCATTTGCCAGGAATCCCCCATAGAAGAGGGTGGGTTGCCAATTTCTTCTATTATTAGATGATTTCCTCATTGATCTTGTTTGCATTCACCATCACGTATCCCTAGATCAATACACCTTAATTCTCTTACTATTCACCTGCCACTGATGAAGGTGGAGAAAAAGTCCATCACTCAGTGCCTATGAATCTCCTTTATGAACTATCAAGGTGGGCCATGATCACTTCCAAGGACAAGGGCAAGGTTAGCGCATACTTTATAGATCTGCTTGGCATTTATATAGGACGACGGTCAGGGCCATGTATCAGGACCATTTATCAGGCAAAGAAAGGATGAGATGCGGCTGCTCTACAGCTGTTTTCATTGTGGTTTATATGGAGGCCAGCAGCATCAATAGAAGCGTGGGTCTGCCAACACCCCATACTCATGAACATCTGTGTTCTGCTGAAATTAATAACCTCTGATTACCCCATACCTCTGAAACCCTGTCAAAACCTGGCATAACACAACTGAGATTAATTCTGTCACAGTTACAGCAATATGTCTTCGCCAATGGAGCGGCATTCGCTTCTGCCGTTTGGCCTTCTCATTGCTTGGGGTTGCACCTCACAGAAGCCTTAAGCTGAATTACAGTGGAAATCACTTTTGAACTCTTCTAATGATTTTCTGTTAAGCAGCTAAGGAGCTACTGGAGGAAGTAGCTTGGGTTTCTGGCTGGCAAAAGGATTTTTTCTTTCCATAAATGCAAAGTTGGCAAGAAGCACTAATACTTGAGGCATAAACAGAATAAAAACAGAAGTAGCTGAAGAGAGATGTTCAATGGAAAGCATGAGAATATGGTCTTGTCACTCCAGCTAACAATAAAACATGTCCACACTGACCATAATGGAATTTAATTCCTAAGTAATGACCATCCTCTGCCGTTATAGACATTGCTGTCATCAGATAAGCACATTGGCGAAAGGGACTTTCTCTGCAGTCAGTAGCATGACTCTGTCTTTAATCTCCCTGCGACTGAGGATTGAAAGGAACTAGTATGAGATTTACTAGTTTATCCCAGTCCTCCAGTAGGAGGATCTGGATCAAATAGCTCACACTTCTTTTGCTTGCTGATAGTTACTAGTCTTTAACAAAGTTTTGAAAATTTCCATACAATCAAGAAGGATGATAAAGCATTTTTCCAGGAAAATGGTCATCACAAAGTTTAGACTAGAAAGTTAATATAGGTCACTGATTCAGGTATTTTTAGATATTTTTCTTTGGAAAGTTTCAAGAGCATCTCTACCTACTGCAATAAACTAGAAAATGGAGTAAGAGGCTGAGACCCCTTCAGAAGTAAATCTTGTTTCAGTAGAAGAGGATTCAGGAAGATGCTTGATATTAAGTGATTAGAAACCTTTGGGGAAATGACTGCCTTTTGCATGCAGGAAAGCTTCTGGGGCAGAGAACGTATGTAAGGTCTCTCTGACATTTAAACTTAGTTACAGCAAGCACAAGATAGAGTTATATTTGCACTGCAGTACATGGATGAATCAGACATTACAGTGAGAAAATATTTTCAGCTCTGGCCTTTTGCAGTGTCAGGTTCTGAGGGGAGATTGGAACAAATAATTAATACAAACCCAACTACAGAAACTTGACATTTAACAAATCAGAAGAAAGAGGTGGCTCAGCATTAACATTATCCAATTTTTTTTTTTTCTGCCTTTATTTACATTAGCAGGGAGTTGTTTATGTCCAAAGCATTTAGCAAATCCAGTCTGCTAATAGCAATACTACTGAACAAGGTTGGGTAAACCCTGCAAACACCTTTCTGCAGAAACCTATTCATATTCCTTGAGGGCTGTGTTCATATCCTTCAAAAGCTGCTTTTTGTGAATGTTCACGCAGTTATGTTTTGCAGACATAGACACTCCTCAAAAAAATCTATATCAAGCTTGTATACCTGGTATTTGGAAAATATGGTATTTTTAAATATGCATACATGAGTTTCAGACCTAGATGGGCTTGGGCTTTTACGCAGTAAAGAACAGGGCAAAAAGCCAGGTGAAATATTACTCCATCTATCATAAGCAAACAACGCAGCTAAGGTAACACATGTGGATAAATTATCATAACCAACATAGTAAAAAATATCACAAACTGCTTTCATTAAATACATGTAAAGGAAATTAGGTTTACTCACAGACAGTCACTAAAAACAAGGAAGTTGAAGTCCTAGAAATTATTAATTGTTAATTATTAATTCAATCCTAATTTGGGGAGGACAGACACAGCCTTAACTCTTACACAGCTTAAGGTCTGTGTTTCAACAGCACTCTAATCTTGCATATGGAATAAGCTACAGCTTCCTTGTCTTTTTTTAACATTTTCATTATCAGTCATAATTAAGTACATTGAGTTTGTAATCTAATTTCTTGTCTTACCTCAATTTCCTGATAGGAGTTGTTGATCATGGCTATTAGCATATTAAGCAGCACCACCACCATAGTCACGTTATATACTCCATAGAGTACATATCCAATATTCTCAATGAATTTATGATCGTACTTCAGCACCACAGATATCACTTCAGATAAGCCAAATATTGACCAGAATAAGGTTTTAAAACTTTCTTCTACCCTAAAAATAAAGCAAACAATCACTTTATAGAGTTGACACCAGGTTAGCCAGGCCAAATGTTAACAATAAAAGTGGCAATCCACCAATATAAATATGATGCCTTGGCCCAGTCATTGTAAACCATTATCCGTCACCCAGGGATGTGCTAAATCATATTTCCTGATTTGATAGAGAAATATGATTTCTGATTGATAGTATAAAGTTACAGTGTCCCCTTATTTGCTCCATCTGTTCTTCGCAGGTGTTTTATTTGTCTCTTGGATTTTATGTCCCTGTTAAGGACTTCTTCACGGGCAACTTGCAGTTTGAAACTTTTTGTGTAGGGCTTTTTACTTCTTCTCACTCAGCCTTTTCTCATCCAGAGAAGACAGGCAGAGATTAGCTGGGAAAGGGAAGAAGGAACCTCGTTTGACCTCCTTATATGCAGTTTCCAGGGCAGAAGAGAAGCGTTACTTTTTACCCTGGAGGAGTGACTAAAAAATTCTGATTAGTGGCATTAATATAATGAGCACACAGTGCAAATATAGTCAGCTCATAGTCTGATTTTCTTCCCATCCTGCTTTGGGACTGCAAACAAGTCAGACGCCCAAGCATTTGTAGCAAAAATGTGAAATTAAGGATTGGTGGAAGATGTTGCAGAGAGGCATTGTGATTTGATTATTACCCTTGCTTGAAAGTAGAAAGGAACCAGAGGAAAATAAAAAGATTGAAAGATAAGAAAAAAAGAGGGGCATAAGCCAATGACAAAGATAAGTGGGGCTGGAAAGGATGCAGCTGGACTGACAGGTCAAAAGGAGAATCTGATTTAGAGCAGTCAAAGCCATAACAGGCAGAAGGGGAGCAGCCACAGCTGAAAAGGAAGGAAGGAAGGAGCAGGAGGGATGCTGGTACATTTTGGAAGCTGTTTGCTTAATTTTTAATTTAGAAGCAATTTTGCCTTCACTGAACAATCCTTAGCATGTTAACCGTTAATTACCTCCTCTCTCCCCCTGCCTTCCAGGAGGTAAATGCCTTCTAAGAAAACAATGCCATTGACAAATTATTTTGACGAAATGTTTTTTACTAGGGTGGCAGCCTAATCCTGCTAAATCTGTTTATAAAAACAGATTATAGACACAAACTATGACATATCCTAAGGGAACAACAAGCTTCACATCAACTCCAGTATCAATTACACCATGCATAAAAGCAAGACAAATTAATTTCAATCCTTTGAAGGGCTAGTGCAGAGCATTGGGCAGTTCTTTTCTGCCAAAGCAAACTGGTATTTATCTCCCATCATAACTTATGGTATTCCATATTCCATTTACAAGTAGCAGTAAGACTGCAGTAAATATTTAAGTATCATTCTCAGCCAGTATAACTGCATTGACTTGTGGGGAGTAACCTTGAGTGGTGTTTCAAATAGATGGTGCACAACTTCATTTAAAATGTGGCTCTGTCTTCAGTCTCCATGATACTCAAGAGTCACTGACACCGTGTTCACTCCCCCTTGACTGCTTTGCACGAGGCTGGGACACCATGCAAAGATACACTTGTGGGATGAGCTATGACTGTGCTGCAAACGAGTGCCATCACTTTTCCACTTGCTGGACATTTCCTCTCCTGTAACACTCTGCCCTTGTCTCCTGCCCTCATCTGCAGCAAAGGGCAGCTGGCATTAACGTGTCAGATATACCCTTCACTTTTATGGTAACAAGCTGGCCAGTGCTTATTCTATAAATGTACTTTCCAATTAAAAAACACAGATAACACCAAAAATCTCTGGCTTTGAAACCCACCACCTAAGTCACTTATCAAACTAATAAAAACCATAACCCCCAGCCTTGATCGCAGCTGCACCCTACTATCAACCTTCCTTTTTTAATTTGGAAAGGTTCCCTTAGTTTTCCACCCTGCCGGCAGATTTTAATACAACGCGTCAACTCTGCTCCTCTTCCGCAGCTTAAGCATTAACCTTTGTTCTGGAGTGGTGCCAGATTCTCCCTGAAAAGTTAATTAAGGACTGCGAGAGGCCTTGACCGCCCTGAGTACTGCAGAGGAGGCAGGCAAGGGCCAGGGCGCCAGGCTCCAGTGCAAATGTCCGTAGTCCTTATCCCCAGTGTCAGGTAAGGGACCAGTGCCCACGGTGGTGGGACTGGGAAGGTGGTGTGAGAGGTGGACATGACCTGTAGCACTCCAAAACAGTGCTTGGCAATGCCCCCAGGTCTCCCTCTTGTAGTACTAGTCCATCCCTACCCTCCAAAAAGGCTGGATGGTTCTTTCCTTCTCCCTTTTAGATCACTGACAAATTGCACGAGATTTGGCACAGGTCACAGGGAACATCAGTTGGGGTTTTTTTTGAGAGCATCTCGCTAAAACATGAGACGAGGATGTTTGGAGCTAAGTTGTCAAAGATTGCAAGATACTGATGTGTCTCATCGTTGCCAGCTAAGCAATTTACCCCCCTTCCTGCAAGGTCAGCGGGTGCTTTGTCCTTCTCAAAGGCAGACAAATGAAGGAATGGAGGAAGTCAGGAGTCCTGCCCAGACTGACAGCTCCTGGCAGCAGGAAGATCTGGCAGTGGCAGATTGGCTGATGCTCCTTGTGGAGATGGGTACACTGCAATCTCTCTCTCCACTGTGGTAGAGCCAACTGTTGCAGTGGGGAGAGGGCAGAGAGATTTTTTTGTTTCAATACACACAGGCCTGTAAAAGTTTAACAAAGATTTTGCATCAAGGAAGAAAACAGACAATAGGCAATCATCTAGTTGCAGATTTTCCTCGCTTTTGTAAACAGCAGTGTGCTGTTGATCAAAATAAATCGCGGCAAGGTTATGATTTCTTGTCAATCTTGTGTCCTCCTCTTTAAGAAAGCTTAAGGCATCCTTTCAGACTTATTTTCTTAAATTGATTGGTTGAGATTTAACACTGTCAAAAAACCAATGCAGTCAATATAATCTACAAAAATATCACATTTTGACAAAGCAAAACAAGAAGAAAAAAGCCTTCAAGCCTCGAAGTAACATTGGCACTGAACAGTGAGTCACATTTCCCTTAGGAGACAGAAAACCTCGTGTTGTAGCCTTCAGCCTGATTTGTGATGCGGAAAGCGAGATGAATGCAATCAGTCTTGCCTCCATTTCGATTTTGTTTGCATAGCATGTTCTTAATTACAGGCTGTTTCAAGAGCTGTGTTCTGTACACAGCATACAATAAACAGATAAACATAGCTGGGGTCGATTGCAACCGTCGTGGAAATGGTCTACTTTTCAGCATTGAAGAACTTCAAAAAAATTTTGAAAGTATACCATGATTAGTTCAATAATCTCTGTATTTAACTGGGTGAAGTAAAGTCCACTGCATCTTTATTTACTTTGCATCCAGAACATTAAAATGGAAGAAATGACAGAAATTTTGCATGGTAACTCGGTTCAGAGGCCACTGGGGTGCTACGTGCTTGCTCTGTGGATGGCAACACAAGTGAAACGGAGCACATGATTTCAAAAGTGCAATAGCAAGGGAAGGTGAAAGCTAAGTTACACCAAATATTCACTGATAATTATCATTAGAACTAAGCAAACAATTCCCTCTGAATGTTATCTGGACAAATGTACACTCTTTTTTCTGCCTACGTACTGTCCTGGGAAGCTGTGTTTTTCTTAAATGTGTAATTCGAAGTTATTTCAGTGAGCAGCTGTTTGTCTAAGGTTTCTCACTGAGGCTATCCAGTGGGCTGTCAATTCAATGCCCTTTGAAACTGGCCACGGTCAATTAGCGCACAAATCCAATGGGTCTTTTTCTGTTATGACTAGCCAAGTGATCTCTGAGAATCAGGTCCCATAGTCGAATAGTCACATTTCTGAGTATAAAACTTGTTTTCTGTAAAATTTCACCCACCCTCATTAGAATTCACAAACATGCCTGCCAGGAAATGCACTCAGTGACGTCTCTGAAGTCACAGAATGGTTACGAGGACACCAAAGTAAGCGTTATTCTTCTTTGTCCCAGTAAATTTTCAGTGAATGAACAAACAGTTGAGTTCCTTATTCAGCTCTAATACTGACATCTTTCTTCTTTTCATGAATAAGTTAATGGCAGCAGGAGCCCGCCACCTTCAGCAAGGCCCACAGGCAGCTCACAAAAAATAGAGAAGGAAACGTTGCTAGAGCTGGTAGCTGCCCATCTGCCAGTTTAACCTTGTCATTAGCTTATTAAAATTGTTTGAGAATGTATACCTCAGGGTTTCTAGCTTGTTGAATGAGACGTCTGAGGATTTTTGGGATGAATGTTAATCGACTCTCTTTGTTTCATATGATGAAAGGGCTCATTTTCACTGATCATCATTTGGCACTCCTGTGTGTTTAAATAACCAGAAGAAAGTAAGTCTATTTTAAATCTCTTCCAAATTCTTAAAAGGAAAATTTATGCTCATGGACAATTTGCTTCATAACAACATGAAGGCCCTCCAGGATAAGTAGTTACCAGCCTGAAGTTAAGGAGGAAGAGCACTGCCTTTTGACAAGACTCTCCCCAATCCAAACATCCCTCGGGCATTTAAGCAATCTTTACTCCAGGAAGCAGTCATCATTTTAGTCAATGTTTGCTCATTATTTCCATCAAAAGATAGTAACTACTGGAATATCCACTTAGGTAATGAGTGCTAATGAGAGAGTTGCTGCACAGCATTGCATCAGAGACTGGAATTTGTCAGTGATGTGCTCTAGCGACGTGCCTGGGAGATACCATAACTGAGGGTTACTGTGCCATCAGGCAATCAAGGATGGTATCGACTCAACTTCTCATTAAGTCTTGTGCTTCAAGGGCATCTCCTTCTCTTCAAATAAGAAGAAAGTCACATCCCACACATTCAATTTTCTTCTACCTTACTACTGAGCACAGATAAATGTAATTGCATCTGGCCTCATAAATCCTTCCATTAAAACGTATCCTGAGGTTACAGGAGAGGTCTAGAAGGCATATTTGGTTCAATTAGAGAAAGTAAACATTATGTTACAAGACACATGTTGCGCAAGAGGGTGGTGTGGTAAAACTGGCTCCTGTGCATTTGGAAAGAAACAGCCACTCGCAGGTCAGAAATGATGCTGAAAAGGTAATTTCTCCTACAGGAGCTATGAGCTGAGCCCCCAGCTCGCTGTGTGACACATTAGAGAAATGACACATCAAATGCCAGCTGCTGTCTGCTCTGCATCTGGTAAACGCCGTGGGGTCAGGCATTACAAGCGTGGTTGCCTGGAAGTCAGATCACAGCAAGGGGAAAACATTATGCCAAGCTTTCCTCTTCCTCACAGATGGGTGTGTGGGAAGGAAAGTCCCCAACATGTCCCTGAGGCAAGTCATGGTGGTTTTGTGAGACACAAAGCTGACTGCCACGGTTCTATGCTGGTGCCACATCGCTGTGCAAGGGAGGAGGCTTTCCTGTGGATGCATGGGACACATCCCTTAGACACAGCAGGGCACCAGGAGGTCCCCTCCTCTGAAAGCTCCTTCAAGACCTCAGCTGTCCCCACCAGGGCTGGAGTTTGGGTTCCCGGGGTCCCAGAGAATAAAGGTTGCATTTTGTGCTACCTCCGAAGGGTTGTAGGCTTTCCCTTTTCAAAAGCAGCCTCAGTCTGAACCTCGTTCCAGAAGCATTTGCCAACCTCTTTCTCTTCCTGACATCCCTGACAAGGTGGAGACAGGGCCTCTGGCACAGCCACCTCCGCAGGGCTGTGTGGCCACCCAGCGAGCGCTGGCAGGTGAGCGTCACCCAGGCAGACCCACTGCCCTGCGTGGCCGGTAACCTGGCATGATGCTCTGTGCAGCATTCACATGGCCTCTGCTGAAAAGTACCCAGCCAGGATTTAATCGCAGCCTAGGCATCCTGGTTTGTTTTGCTATTTTGAGCATCACAACTAGCAGCTGGCTCTGCAGATGTGCACCTAATAATCACAGCTGCGCTCAGGTGGTATCCTAAAACAGACCTCACAGAAGCAAAATCCTCCCTTATTTTACACACATTTTGGCTTGCAGTTTTAAGAACAATAATCTTAGGTCTAACCTCTTCTCCACTGCTTCTCTGGGCTCATTAAACCGAACATCTCACAAAACATTTTCCTGGTCTGTTATTTTGATTTCCAGAAATAACCATTTCTGAACTACATGTCTCCCTATGTTCAGGCCTTGAGCTGGCTACCAGGGCTGGAGCCTGTGGTACAAGTTTCCCAGGCAAAATCTGGATGTTACTTCCCCACGCGGCTGGAGTAGAAACTATCTGAGCAGACCTTGCAGCAGCAATGGACCAGAATGGATTGAGCCCTGCAAGAGCAGGCGCTTTTCCATAGGTACTCACGTTGTAAACGCGGGGTTGTATTTTGCACCAAGGTAGTAAGAGTAAAGGTTGAACATTCCAATCATGAAGGCCAGGAACACCATGATGAAGATGACCATGAACTTGAAGATATCCTTCACAGTCCTCCCCAAAGAGATCTGCAGGGGGCCGAAGCTTTCGTTGGCTGGAAGAATGTAAGCAATGCGGGAGAAGCTGAGTACCACAGCTATTGCATACAGTCCTTCTGAAATGATCTGAGGATCCGAGGGAAGCCACTTGTTCCTGGCTAAAACAATACATGTACACTAGGTATTAGTAACAAAAAGTGTTAGATGGAAGTTATGATGATAAATGACCCATTTTCAAGACTGAATCTTGGTAAAAAAAAAAAGGTTTAGAACAACTGGTCACTGAAGTCCTCAGCATGCTATACAAATATGGGTGAGAAGAATTAGTTGTATTTATCACATGGTAAAGATGAGAAATAAGCAAGTCACTGGAATTTACCAGAGTCACACAGCAAATAAATAGCATGGCTTTAAACAAATTTGGTATTTTCTGTTTCCTAGTTGAACATCAGCTGTGTTGCGCCTTTTCCATTATAAGCCCTTGAGATGGAGAACCAAAACCACAACACAGTGGAGTTTGGCTATAGATTTGGATACATGGCACTGTGTCGATATTTGGAAAGGAAGCATGAGGGAGACTGACATCTCTATCCCTACCATTAGATAAGAAAGTTAGGATTTGTTCAGATAAAGCAGATATAACCATCAAGTGTATCACCTTCATGTTATCTTTAAATTAAAACAAATTCTTGCAGTCTAGTCACTCTAACATTTTTACTTTAAAAAGCTTCTTGTTGATACCAGATATGCATCATTTATTTAATCTACTGAAAATTTGAACATTTATATTACCATAGCTTATAAGTGTCCTTGCATCAACTGAGCTTCTTGATGAAAAGATTGTGACTCAGAGCTAAAACATGTGACAACTTAAGGACACAGCAGTAAACTTAGGCATTATTTTCAGCAATCTGACCCAAAGGAAAAGCAGCAGATGGAGGAATTCACAGGATCTGGTTGTGACATTCTGTTCCAGACCCTTTGCACCTTTTTAGCATGAACTCACTTTAAATGAGTCAGCGCAAACCAGAGAGAGGAAAACCACAACATCACCTCAGAGGCCTCTTGCTTGCCTGGGCAGGGAGAGGGAAGCTTACTTTCAGAGGCGACGCACCAAGCCAGAGGCTGAGCTGGTGTGACCAGCTCATGGACCTGCCAGCGAGCCTGTGCCTGTGCACCCTGGTGTGGGCTCAGGGAACGTGTCTCTGGTGCCACATGGCGCACGTCTACAGTGGCTGAAGTCCGCTGCCTCAGATTTTCCTCCCCAGCCCAAGCACATTGCTAGAATAACTACCTTACAACCCTAGGGAGCAAATGGCCCTCCTTTGTGCCCAGCTCTCTAGCTCCTGCAGTCCCTCTGTGAGTAAAAATGCCCATGGATTTTGCTCAGGGTTACATCTAAAGCTTGCAGAAGCATGCAATGAATCCAGTCCCCACACTGGGGTGCAAACCTCTATTCCTTTGTGAATATCAAAGAAAAAACATTTCAGCCATCAAAAATAATGTTGTCAAGGCTCTGCTACTGCTTGCATTTCCAAATGTTAACATTTATAGATGATACAGGCTCTCAAAAAATAAAGTCTCTTGGAGGAGCAGCAGCTTATGGGTGTAATTGGTGTTTGTATTTCCATTATACAGGTGTTGGATGTAACAGAGGTGCAGAGTGCACCAACAGTTAGAAATGCAACTCCAGATCCTGTGTTTGTTCACGCATCTCCCCCTTCTCACATTTGGAAAACCAAGCAGGTTCATTCATCTGTAATTTAAATTATATTCTGCTCACTCCCAGTTCCTGACTGTTGCTCAAGCTATTTTGTCAGCATGTGATTGACCTGAATGTAGCCTTAGCACAAGACCAGAGACTGAATGAGGCTCGGATCTCAATTCCTTTCTGACTGTTTAGGAAGATGGCTGGAATGGGTAGATCTGAGAAGAATAATATGGTTTAATTAGAAAAAAACTACATAAATATCACAAAAAGAAAGCTGCTTTCAGCACTGCCACACATTAGCCTGAAAGAACAGGAAGCATTAGACAGCGAAGATAGCAAAAAGCATCTTACCATAAGTAAAGTAAGCAACTTCAGGGGGAAGGGTGACGTTATTGAGGTCATCATCTTGAACGTACTGATCTACGTACTGTTGTGCTTCAGTCGCTTTGAGAAAAGCCATGAACCTGGCGGTGAATGATGCCACGAAGATGGACAGCATCCCAAAGTCCAGCAGGTTCCAGAGATGCACCACGTATTCGCGTGGCCCCTCTTCCCAGATCTCCTTGCACTCTGACCATATCATGCCTGCGGAAAGGCCAGAGCACGTTTAACCACCAAACACAGAAGGTGATTTTTGCATTCAGACAGACCCGTTTCCTGGCTAACAGTAGCTTCTAAGATCAAAATAAATAACTCTTCAATTAAACTGAATTTCTTGAGAATGGTTTGTGTCATCTTTCCTTAAAAATTATTAAAAACTTTAAGCTTATATGTCCTTTTGTGCATATGAGGTTGAAATTTCAAAATTTCACTATATGAGTCAACGGTAAAGTAGATTTCTGGTGATGTCAGACAAAGCATGGTTCAGAAATACTGAAGACATTAGAAAATTCTACTACTGATCTATTTGGAAAAAATGTAGATTTCCTCTCTTGTCCCCAAAATCTCCTTGCTAAACCTTGCCACTGCAGATGGTATCGCTTGCTCTGCTGATGTTTTCCTCCTTCCCTAAAACAGTGGGTGGGTCTGTTTTGAGAATGGAAACAGATCTTTTTGAGAGAAAATCTGATCCAGGAGTAAATACAGTATGATCAGAGAAAAAGTAAGACAGAAGCTCTGCCCTTGCAGTACTTTTCATAAAGTTTTATATATTAAATAATAATGAATTTCCATGAAGTCTGATCTATCACTTTGAAAACCCTGAGTTTAGCCTGAATTTAGGATCCTTCTGACAACAGACTTACAGATAAACCTAAATGCCAAGCCCTGAAAATTCAAACGTTTTGACATCCATGTTCTACTGGGGAGTGCTGGGGAGGACAGGTGAATTCAATGGGCAAACTGGAGCCAAGAGCTCAGGACAAATTCACCAACTTGCCCAACCTTCAATCACAGCAGGGCTCCAGGCCCAAAATCTTGCTTCTGAATAGCTAAAATATTGGAATATTTAACCCGCTGATAAATATTTCCTGCGCTCTACCCAATCCTGTTTCCATAGCAGCAGCAAAATTCACATTTAATCAAGCAGGAGCAGTGCCTGCCAATTTCCATGTGGCCTCCTGCAACCTTGTCCTTTTTGTGAACTCTTCTTCATCCTCTTTGCTGGAAGCTCTCATGGTGTGGCATGTCAATGCTTTTGCTCAGCTACTTCAGAGACTCCTGGAAGCACATGGTGTCCCAAAAGGCGCAGTCGAAAGCTGGGTTATAGGGAAGGAAACAAGTCAGTGTGAATTTAGCCAGAGGCTGGAGCAATGAGGAACTGCCGCTGTCAGTCCTTGTGCACGGGGAAGGATTTGAGAGAAAAAGGAAAGCTAAGCTCTCGGTACCACTGGTGGCCAAGGCACAGCTAGCCTGTGACCTCCATAGCCCTGGAATCTCCAGGCAGGTCCTTGGAGCTGTACCCTGATGTAGGTTATGCCCCATGCAGATCTGTCTTGGGAGAGAGCCTGAGGTCTGCTGAATGCTTAGCAGAGCCAGAGGGAGGGCAGGAGAGGAGCCTCCCAGCTCTTCTCCTCGAGTCCGCAGGTGCTTGCCTGAGTAAAAGCAGGAACTTCATCCCAAGCCGTCATTCACCACGAGTACGATTTAATAATAAATAGTCTAAGGGAGAAGGTGGAAGAATTGGTTTCTCAGGAACTGTCCAGGAGTGAGGATGAAATATTAAAGAAACATTTCTCACAAAAAAAAAAGTATCCCAGCAGTGATAGATAGGAGACATTAGCCCTACGCATTACGCATGTGTGTCGTATAAAGGTACTTATACGACAGTGCTTATAAAGCACTTCAGGAAATATCACATGCATGGTAACATTGCTGACCAGGGTACTTGTTCACTGACACCCAGAAATGTCTTTTCTGGTTTAAATATTAACTCTCCTATCCAAATTTATTTCTGATCTTCATCACTTAATATACCTAAGTCGCAGATTAATGAAGTAAGGAATGTCTAAAACTGAGTAGACTGACTAAAATTAGACTCATCCTGTGAAAATACCACACTATTGGCCTATAATTTACGTCATTTTTTTTTGCCAACTGTGTGGCAATCATTTTTTATCCATATATATGGAAAAATATCTATTCAGGACAAGTAGAAAAGTTACAGTAATTATTCGCTCAGTACTGTTGGGTAATTGTATATACATTGTGAGGGAGTAATTCAAAGATTCTCCTCAAGTAAAAATAATGAGAAGAGAAAAAGCAGCTAAAATTCAGGGGATGGGACGTAAGATGGGATGTGAGAACAGAAATAAGGGAAGGCAACTAAGCAAAGCAGATTTGCCAGGATGTGATTGCATTTCAATATGGTGTTTCTGAGGCCCCCAATGGCTTTGGGAGAGGTTGTTTCCCTGAGTTTGATGTACAGAGAGGTGGGATATGAGCAGCTTCTGCAGGTCTCTTGTGCCTGTTCTCCCACAGCAGGGATAATCAGAAATGTCACCTTGATGGGCATTTCTGGTTTCAGCAGGGAAAGGAGAGACAAGCTACATGCACAGCCCATCTGGGAGAAAAATGGAAGTGTGCAAGAAGTGCTGTTCACCACCTGCGCACAAAAAGGAACAGTTTGTCAGATTTTTATATCCACTGGCCTGGTATATAAATCACGAGCAGCTGATGTTGGAGAGCCGCCTTTGAGCCTTCCTGGATCTGCCAAAGGCTGTTGGATTAAGAGAGAGAGTTGTGCTCGGATTGCGTCTACCCAGAGCTTAACTGCTACCCTGGTTGCTTTTGCAGTGGGGATTTTGTCTCCCTGAATGAAACCTCCCTGCTTCCAGTGCACATTTTTGTCCGTATTGCTCACGAGGAAAATCCCAGCCTTCCTCATCCGAAGGCAAGAGATGGGAAGACCCGGCCGCAGAGGGAGAAGTAGCCAAGGCATACAATGAGCCACAGGCACATGAGCTGAAATTGCCGTGCCCCATGTACGAAGGGGCAAGTTCTCCTTTCAGAGCATTGCGGTATTTCTCTGTGCTGACAGGTTTATCATCTGCAGCCCTTGGATGCTCGTTCATAACAAAAAGAAGTGAGACCAAAAAGGCGTTTCCCCACCTAAAATGCTATTGTTTATCTGGCTGTTCATGGGGATGTTAAATGGGCTTCCAACACTATCTGGCTGCTCCAGCGATGGTCTACAGCCATTTCAGAGGTGCAGGCTAGTGGAAAGTAAAGCCTCTGATATGGATTTTTGGAGCAGGATGAAGTGCTTGCCTGGCTGAAAGTCATTGCCGCTGCTCGGTTTACTCTATTACTCACCTGCATTACAAATAGTTGGGAGCAGGAGATGGCAATGGTATCTTTTTGCATAACTCCAGTCTGAAATTCTCCTGCTGGTAGTTTTCTCTTAAAATATATACACGTGGGTCAATTTTCATGTATCTAGCAAGATTAATTGCAGGGAGTGCTACTACAGGTTGTGCTCACTCATGGCCATACTATGCTATGCTGATGTAGCACATTATCCTCGAATAATGCTATTCTGAACATGCATCATAATTTTATGGTTGACAGCCAGATAACTCAGACAGCCAATTTTCTCCCCAAAAAAGAACCATGCTCAGGGACCTGTAAACTAATTTCTCAAAAATGGTCTGCTATGGTTGGAACAAGTAATGTGTCATCAGCATTCATCATTGCTGCCACAGAATGAAAGAGAAAAGAGAAAGAACAGAAACAGAAGGAAGGGATTTACAAGCTGAGAATAAATAAAATTACACTTTTTGATTGTACTATGAATCGAAATGTAGGTAGCACACCCACACTGTTGAGTCTGAAGACAGCAACTGCAGGTGTTGCCAAGTAGGATTAAATATAGCTACGTACATTTAGTACACAAGAGTTAGATTTATTATACTGCAACATATACTTATTGTCTACTTACATTTGCCTCTTCAGAAAAGCATGTCTTGGCAACTTTACCTGTGATATTTATCTATAGCGTTTACTGTTATTTAATTATATTTCTACTTACATATACATATTTATAATACCTATAAAATTTTTGTGCCAAAAGGCTGGGCAGTCCGCCACCTTTAGTGCTTTTACAGTCCTTAAAGTTCAGGGTCACATACGGGGCTCAGCAAGTGCCCAAGCCCCCGTGCCAGTTGGCTGCAGGCCTTGTGCACCAAACTTTCACCTTAGCATTGCTGAAACATTATTTGAAGCTTTATGTAGGCAGACAGCTAAAATGGCCAGAGAAGACTGTCAGAGCTGATGTAGGCAGTCATTAGAAAATCTCATTATATTCAGAAGTCTGTCCAATGAATCACCTTTCTTCTCCCAGAAAAGTGAAAACCTTTAAATGAAATGTTTTCTTCTTCATCTCTCAGGAACTCACCAGGCAGACAGAGACCTAGTGCCTATAAGAAAAGAACACCTAGTCTAAAATCTAATCATCTTCTCCAACTGCTTTAATACCATTTCAAAAATACATCTTACAGACTTACTCTATCCAGTCTGGCATCTATTCAGTATCTTCTAGCCTAATATCCTATATGGGATTTTGATTATTGCGGGGACAGGGAACAAAGAAATGGTGGCCAGGAAGCTACCAGGTAGAGCAGCCCTATCCTATTTTTCAGGGGGGCTTAATGCCATCAGTACTTATGGAACAGTGGAATTATTTGCTGCAAGAAAAGAATCAAAATCATGGTGGTGAGTAAAACCAGACACAGAAGAGGTAGACAAAGATTCTGCAGAGTTGATAAGCTCAGTTTCCCAATAAATCCTTCTGAGCTTGTTTAGATAGTGGTTCAAGGTAGCTGACCTGCCAGGAATAAATTGTGCCTATAGGAAAAGTAATACATCTGAATTTTCCTAAAACTCCCTGGAAGTTTAACTTGTGCACATGACATACTTTTGCACTTGGAGGGTTCATCCACATGAATCCCTACTTTATGATTGCTGGATAACTTAATTTCTTTTAAAAGATTTGAGTGCTGTGCTGTCCTCTCACCAGTAACAATTTCATACTATGGATATCACAAAATCCACCTCTTATTTACCTAGCAGTTTTCATCACTAGATCTCAGAGTGCATTACCAAAAAAATAAATAACAATATACCCATTTTGCAGATGAAGAAACTGAGGTTCAGTGACTCATAATAGGATCTCATGGCAGGGTAATAAAACACCCACGTCCCAATGGACACAATTCTTTCTGCTCACTTTAGATAGAACAATGTCCTGTAGTGAAGCTATAGGTTTCTATGACTATATTACCTTCTTTAAGATGCAATGATTAAACCAACAGAGGCAAACAGACAACATCTATAGCATTCACCATGGAAACTGGAAAATCAGGAAAGCGAGAATTTGCCAAGCATCACTCAATATTTTCAAAAGCAGTGACCAAGACCAAAGTCTTCTTTGATCCTGTTTTAATCAAAATACTGCCATCAACCTCTAATTTAGCCTCATGATGTTTTTCTTGTTTTTGAGGTTTGGGTTTTGTTGGGGTTTTTTTTGTTTGGTTTGGGTTTTTTTTTTTCCTTTGTCTTGTCACTGTCTATCATGCTATTTCTAGTCATGTTGAATTTCCCTGGAGGACTTGTAGACATTTTGGTTTTGCTTACCCAATACCCACTCCATGATCAGCAATTCTGTCCATGAGAACTGAGTTGTTTTGACTCTAAATATTTGTTTTGGATGATCCGTGATGGTCTCGTTGGGGAGATTTTTTACTCCTTCAAACCGATCTGAAGCATTCACTACTAACAGTCCAAGGAAGATTGTGAAAGAAACTGCATGTGCCACAAACTTCATGAAAGGACTTCGGAGGGTCCGTCCCAACTGCAAGGAAACATACACAAGACATAAGATTTTTTTTCCCTCATCAACCTTCTAGAAGTTTTTTTCCTATAAAAGTTTGAACCACTTGCCCAAGGTGAAAAGGATTCAGAAATGAATTCTAGATCATGAACTAAAGGGGGTTTAGATTTGTTCAAGTTGTTCTTTGCTGTTACTAGACATTATGCATTGCAGTTCAAATTATGCCCTTTGCATAATTTTCTATGCATGGCAGTATCTTATATTGCTCCTTTATACCCACATAGAATGTCTGATTGTCCTGGCCACATGGTAAGCGGAAAATGAAGAGACAGGACATTTATATGAGAGACATGTTTGTGTGTATACGTGTTATATGAATGTACTCATGTGTGTCAATACAAATCCTAATGATGGGCCCACTTCTCATCCTTACATCATTGTTATATATTAGAACCTTTTATTAATGCTCAATTCTTGGTTCATTAATGATGTGTAGGAAGTAGCCTTCTGTTTAAAGATCCTTTAGCAATGCTTTTAATATGTTTTGGTATGATAGTCTTCTCTCATAATTACTACAAAAGCGGGAGATTCACTTCCCAGAACACAAGGATTTATTGCAATACAATAAGCCATGAATCAGAGCAGCAGATCTGTTCACTAGAGTTAATTTTTGTCCCATTCTTCTTGAAAAGCTTTGTTTGCTAATTAATATAAATAACACTCTCTTCATTTTACATTTTCTGTGATCTAAGAAAACATTACCCCAGAAAGATGTCAGAGTAGAAGCATTTTTAGGAGCGCAAGGACCAATGCCTGTGGTGTTGGACACAATAGACAGCAATGAAAGTGCCATCCTGCATGTGCCCTTTCCAAAACCCCCTCAAGGCAAATGGGATTTTTTCTGCAGTATATTACTCACAGATTAACTTCCTTTGATGACAAGATATCCTCAAAATTTTCTTAACATCTACTGACTTGATCATAAAACTTCATAAGAATTATGAAAAAGGAGTGAAAAAGGAAATTCCTTGTTTTCCTACTTATCTCCAATAGCAGCTTTGTTCAAAGAAGCCCAGGTCTCTGGTTATTGCAGGGCAGGAAATATTTTAAAAGCAGGGTTCTTTAGGTCTAGTGGAAATTTAAAGGAAGACTTATGATTCTGGTTCTTATTTCTTTTTCTTCTCTGAAGTTTTAAAATGTCAAATAAATCTTTTATGAAGATGACAGAATAGAAAATCATATTGGAAAATTTGCATGTTTCTAAATACCAGAAAGACTTTCCGATAAAGAAAATGAAAAAAATCTGCCCTATCCCTGAGCCCTTATTAACATGCATGCTTTTTTTCTGAGGTCAATACGGATGTGTTTAAGCGGGTAGGTATTGCACTGAATCAAACTCCCAGTTTCCTTAATCTTGTCTAGGAATATTATGGCAGATGTAGGAGTAAATGAAGCGTGTTAAAAGCAATCCCAACACTTGTGATGCTGGTTCGCTCCTCTGCTGTAAACCTTGGTGTAGTGTTAGTTCTCAACAGCTTTTTATGGCTGGCATTGGGCAGAGTTCCATTTTGTAGCAGAATTTATATTTCCAGTACAGAGCTGATGGATTGATGGGATATGTTTGAACAATGCCCCATACAGTAATAATCTCAGATGTTTTCCTCATATGACCTGTCCGAGAGAGCTCAAAGAGCAAGAGCAAAGTATAACAACAACTATGGGCATATGGGGCCTTACCAACAAAGTTTTAAGAAAGTACATTTGCAGTCTGTACAAGACTCATTTCTACCCTGAACTCACTAAAAGAGAAAAAGCACTTTCTATTGAATCATGAATTCTCTCCAAATAATTAGACGACTTCTGCTGTCTATAGAAACTTAAAAAAAAGAGACCTGAGATTAAAGTAGCACAGCCTTGGTTATCAGAGAAATAATCCCGTGTATTACAGAACCAAATGAATTCTCTGGGTAATTTCACTTAGTTCTCTACTGATTTAACAAAAGTCTGCATTTAGTCAGTGTTACATCAGCATTTTATCCCCTTTATTACTGTGGAAAGCTTACATTTCTTTTCTTGAGCTGATGCTTTTCATATCTTCTCAGAAACCTGATTTTTAGCTAAGAGCTACAGGAGGTGAAAGTGTTGACTAGAATATTCTGTAAAAAATTAATGAAGCGTAAATTCCTCCAGTCAGCCTAATGCTTTATGACAGTAAGATATATTTTCTCCAGTCAGCCTAATGTTCTTTAACAGTAAGATATATTTTTCAAGCAACATGATACAGTTAAACTCAAGGTGTGTAACTATTTGGATGTATCAATTTCTCAATTACTTTTTAAAATCAAAATATCATCTTTCTTCAAATTGAGATTGCAGGGAAGTACCTGGCTGTCACTGTTAAGACAAAAACACTGACAGTGTGTGAATATAAAGGTTCATTCTTAAGAGAATAGCTCATTTCATGACTTAGTATCCTATCCGTATTATAAGAAAATAACGAAGCATGCAGACATGTCAAAAAGAAAATATACAAAATGTGTTAGTGAAACAAAGTTTTCCAAATGCAAATTATCTCTACTCCAAGAGACAGGAACAAATAAAGATAGAAATATCGTAAAGAAAAAAGCCATTACTATTTTCAGTACTATGCTCATAGCAGAAGCATGAAGAATATTGTTGTAGAAATTTTATGTAGCTTAACTGGGGAGGAAAATACCCAGAGTAAAAAGGTACAGGTACAGCTTTAGGTGGAGTGATCCGTTAAAGTACCAGTGCTTAAACGATGCTGAGTCTGTCCCAGCGGGATCTATGGTCCATAAATCCTCAGCATGGCTACATGAAAGCCAGAGAACAACCCAGGCAATGAGAGCTGTGTATAAATGATCTCTATTAGTGTTGTAATATCAATGTGCGCTTCAACCGACCAGAGAAGAAAGAAAATACTTCTTGAAGTTCTGCAGACAGTCCAAAGAGTCCCGCTTGCTCTTGTCATTACATTTTTGGGCAGCAGACTGTGCAATTTTTCCATTCTCTCTCTTATCTTCTCTTTTGATCTCCAGTGAAACAAGTTTTGGACACCAACATATAAAGCAACAGTTCATTTCAGAGTCACAGCCTCCATGAGACGGATGAGTCAACACAGATATTTCAGGATCGGATAGGCTTACACTTCGCGGGTCTTGTCAACAGTTTGTGCATCCAGAGGTGAATGAACAACCAACACAAAAATTGGTTTTAATAAAGACAGTTCTGTGCAACTGAATGCAAAAGAAGACTTAAGAGGTCAGTTGCAAACTCCAGTCAATACTATTTACTAAATTTTCAAGGGTGATATTTGGCATGGTATATTCTAACCCCACAGAGCTTTATTAAAGAAAATTTTCTGTTAGGGATTAAAGGCCTGAAAACATATTCCCTGCTAAGATACATGTGATCATATCACATAAGATTATAATTCCTCAGTGAAGGAATTATTCTGAGATAATAATTGCTCTATTACTGTATGTGAAACTGCAGAATTTGACCAATACATCTTAAGAATGTGATACACAATAATATTCGTCAGGACAGCTCCTATAAGCAGTATTCCACATTACAGAAATTTCCTTCATTTTTCTCACTGTCTTAGCCCAGAAATGAGTCCCTGACTCATGCCTGGTCATCCATGTGTCCTTTAAGTCAGGCCTGATTTGATTTAAGTCAAATATCTCAGCTGATTGTTACTATGGAAAAATTATTTCATTACTCAGTTGTGTAACATCAAAATTGTTTCCATGACTTAAAACCAAACAAAACACTTGTAAAATTGGCCAGGACAAAATTAGGCTGTTCAGAGCATCACATGCAAATCTTTTGTTAATATCACCATCCTTGCAGCAGATACGCTGCCTATGTAAAATTGTCTGCAATAACACTGTGAGAGGGTACAAGGCTCATGCATCAACCCTCAGCCCTTGAACTTAATAATGACCATTTTGGGTGAGGTACCAATTCATGGGGGGAAAATGCATTCATTATTCATTTATTTCTATCACAGGCCCCGACCAAAAATCAAGACTACATTGTTCTAATCAATGCAAAGCCATGCATTAAAAGACAGTTCCTGCCTGGAAGAACTTTCAATTTGATTTTCTGACAGAAGGTTCCGTATGGTTTTCCACAGTCTGAAGTGGTGTGAAAAGGAAGGGACGTTGAAAAATGAGAATGCACAAAAGGTTTAGTGTAATGAAATCACAGTCAATGAAAAGTTAAGTCCCCTTCCCTCCATTTTTTTAAATTTTAATACACCTACCTCAATAAATTAAAACCAAATAACTTTCTCAATCATTTCTTACTTCTGCTGTAAAACCGATTTATTTTGAATTTTTTGGCTCAGTTTTTTTTCCTTAGTTTTTATGCTTTTCATTTAAATTCTCCACTTATTTCTAGTCTAACTGTTCTCCCCACCTATTGCTGTATTCAAATGCAACCTCTGTAATTCTGAGAATACACCACAAATGTTGCCGTTGGCTGGTGTGCCAACTCCCAGCACATTCAACAGAGGTGAAGGAAATTAAACAGCTTCATAAATCCCCGCTGGACTGAGTTCTGACATAACAGAATTCCACACATGAATTCCCTCTACGACCTAACCAAAACCACCCGCCACACAGCCCAGCTTTCACATGCACTTCTCTGTGTGAAACTCTGGAGTCCCGTCCAGTATTCATAAAAGCTGTGGGGTTTTGTGTTGGTACAAACCTTGAGAAAATGAAGTTACATTCTCAATTACTCTAAGAGAAAGTACTTTTCTTGGAATTTTTTTGGAGGACACCAAGCCTTAACATGTTTTATTATCTCAGATGTTCTGGAAGACTGTTTTCAAAAGGTTTGTCTGATTGCACCAACATAAATCTTTTCAAATTATAGTTTTTCCTCAATACCCATCCATGGATCTATAATTTCCTGGGCTTGACAAATTTAGAAAGGATTCCTCACTGGCTTTTAAAGGAAATGGGAGAAGATGCTTTCAAGACTGAATAAACTGCTAGTGCCAGGGGTCACTTTATCAAATTTAAGTACCTCTGATAAGCCTCCTGCTGAAGACCTCTACCTTGTAATGGATGATGTTGTTGGCTATTGCTCAATGTGAAATGATCTTCTTCCCTGCCACCCCTTTCTCCTGTGGCAAGAGTAGTGAAAAAGCTTTTTATCACTCAGCCACACACCTATTTAACTCCACTTGCCTGAGCAGACTCTTTCAGGATGGAAACCTCACTACAGATTTCATACCACAGACAATTCAAGCTTTTACCTAAGCTAATGGTTGGCTCTGGTCCTTTGACATCTAGGTCTTGGCAAAACTCTCCTGCTCCATTTGATGCTGTAAGACATAGCCCAGCCCTATTTAGGTATATGGCAGTTTTCCAAGTTTCATCACCTTTTCCCTCAAAACCATAAAGATTGTATGATTAAGTCTAGTCTTCTCTGCAGCACTAAGCAGTCCCCTGGGGCTTGCCAGAGTTTCAGGCACATGCGCTGTAATAATGCTCCACTAGCGAAAAATGCAAAATCAGAAATAGGAAGGAAAGGGAAGAGAGGAGCCCTGAAGAAGGGAGGAACCTGCAACAAAAAGTACATTAAAGGAACGAGAGTTTAAACATCAGAGTTAACTAAAAGGGCAACAAAGATCTTCCTTTTTAGTTATTCCCCATTTTGGTGGTTCTTCTATTCTTTCTTCACCCCACTCCCATGTTGTTATCTCCTATCCATTTCTTGTTGCTATTCTCTTCTTGTCACCCACTGTCTCAATGTTTCCTTCCCCCATCACTCCGCCTTTATTACCTGTAAAGATGAACCTCAAACCATGCCGAATAGCTCCATTTGTGTATATCAAGCAACACCTCACACTTGCTCTCCTCCGGGGCAATCTTAGAGGACAGCATGAATCGTTTCCCAATGGCGTTACAGAAACATATGTGACTTCATTCCAGGCCCTGGATAGAAATGACCATAAAAGCCATGCACCTTAATGAGTTTGTACCTTGCTGCAGGGAGCGATCCAGTAGGCTATGGCGAGGAAGGGCAGGCCAATGGAGACCCCGAAGACAGCCAAGAACTTCACAGCTATAGATTGCTGCCGTAAGCCTGAGAGGTTTTCATACCACATGGTGAGCAGTTGCTGCTGGCAGTTGGGGTGAGCAACAAACTGTAAGAGAAACAGAAATAGAAGTATCAGTAGCATTGTCTGAAGAGGATGAGATTTCAGAGAATGACCTGCTGAACACGCCAGTGGAACAAGACGGGGCACGTCTCTGTTGTCCCACATAGCTTATGGTGTCACAAACAGAAAACTGCAAACCAGGCACCCAAAATCCCCAGGTACTGGCAGAACGTGTTTCACTTCTGCTTCTTGTCTTCTCTAGATAAAACTTTTGTTAGACAGCAGACTTGTCTCGGCCAAAACCCAACATCCATCAGTGGCCAGCACTGACAAAGTGCCTCTGTGGGGTCAGCATTTACATCTGAGACAGTCTACATCGAGATTCAGAAAAGACACAGAGAGGCACTTTGGTGTCAAGCTGAAAAAATCCTCTGATAACTTGCTAAAGACATAGGCCATTGCAATAGTAGCTCTACACAGCGCTAATATTACATTGTTCTATTCACTGCATACGGACCCAAAGTGGACCATTCTGCACGGTTCTCCCTCTCCTGTAAACAGTAAGAGGTCTAGTTGGTATTTTGCTACTTTAAATGCTTTATCTCAGATTACCTTTCAAAAGATGACAGCTCATTCTTTGCTGATCGGACAAAAAGACAAATGTAAAAGGAGAAGGAAAAGCTGTGCTGCTCTGGTACAGAAAGTACGTGTTTTGTATCCTGTAACTGAGACTCTTCTTCAGTTTATTGTTCAGAGGAAAAAGAAAAGGCGAGCAGCAGACAACTGAAAAGGGCAATTTCTTAATGATAAAATTACAATATCACGGGATCCCACGGAAGAGTTTTATAATAAAAGATTAAACTTCTTTATTTCATATTGTCCTTCAGGATGATTGAATTTAGAATGTGACTATCTTTAATCACAAAGAAGATAATTAAAAGACAAAATAACTGAAAGAAAAGATGAAAAATAAGTATGTTGCTAATGGAGTTGATTGCATTAGCAGAACTGAGTGTTGCATTTATGAGTTTTGTGGGTGAATAAATGTTCTTAGGAGGGAAATGTAAAACCTTCCACTATTTCAAAAAGCAGAACTTTCTGGAGGTGAGGGGGAGGACGAAGGGGGTAGAGAGAGAAAGAGAGGAGGAAAGCAGAGGCTACTAGGGGGCCTCGTGGCCGCTGTTGCCCCTGCCTGGCAGGGTGGACATGGACCATGTCTGGCAGCTGCCCCGTTGCCCTGCTTCAGCCCTTTCAGCCGCAGCCAGCTGGGGGGATTTCAGGTGTAGTCTGTAGTTTCATTGGGACGGAAAAGTAGAGAAAATTCTAACCGTGCTTTCATCTTCACTATCTATGAAATGACGATCAAATCAGGGATTTAATGGACTCTTTTCTAGATGTTTGCATAATAACAAAACCGTTACTGTGAGTTTAAATGATCGGTTTATTGCTAGTGCAGAATGAAATGCAGTTGCCCAGTAATTAGGATTGCTGTAGAATAGTACATTTCTTTCTTTAACAGCACATTACCAGCTATTTAAAATGTGCTTCCTCAGATGAATTAGTCTTTGGGGCCTGTATTTCTCAAAAAGAAAAAAGTAGAAAATAAGACTTTACCCCTTCCACTGAATAAATCAATCAGAGTGAAGAAATTTGATAGGTACTTTTAACCTCTTTGTCTTTAGAATTTTTTTCCTGGAAATATTAACATTTTAATACGCTTTCTTTTAAACTGCTTTCAGAAAAAGAAAGCTTTCAAAAACGATAATCTATAAATCATCAGTCCTAGTCATGCTGAGCATTTAAAGGTTAAGGTGATGACAGCAATATTGCAAGGAGGCATTTCCTAATGCTCAGTGTTTATGTTTGTGCTAATGCTGTTAGGGCTTTTTACCGCTCTGGCAAATGGACAGAAAGACGAAGTGGAAGGAAGCTAGACAGAGAATTGATTCCCTTTGTAAATTTTATTTTCAGATATGATGAATTCAATAGCAATTGTAGCAGCTCGTGGAAAGGAAAATTACACGGGTAGATGTGCAGACTTCTGAGATGAAGGGCCAAAGAAACAGCCAGGCTTCCTCCTGCTCTTGTAATTGTTCACCGCATTATGAGAATTGATTCAGACAAAGAAATTCAGTTGTCTTTGGCAATGAGACAGTCAAAGACTTTTGCTGGTTGGCATTTCAGAGAATTTGTCAGACATTTTAATCTGTTCATTGTTTCACTCTGTCTGGGAACAGCTACAATAAAAATACAAATATAGGAAAATTGAGAAGGAATTGAATAAAACCCAGTTCATTGGAACAATTTATTTTGTACAAGGCAATAAAGATTGGCAGCATGCCATAGAGCCTTGATGGTGTTCATCTTACTCTGATTATTGCAAAAATGAGGGAAAAATAAGATCAGGATAAGAAAGATAAGAGCATGAACAAGTTTTGATCTGTTGTTTGCTTACAGCAAGCAGTACAGTTTTTCATTATGTTTGCTCCAGCAGGTATTAAAGAAATACGCAGTGACCCTTGGACAGTGCCAGTCCTCTCCCTATCAAAATTTCAGAAATTGATCTTAGATCTCATCAAAGACATTACAGAGGCATTTAACTTTCTCTCTTCTCTGGGAATGGGCACTGACACCAAGTTAAAGATTACAGTAATGCTTTGTTAGTGTCATAGACACAGAAAAGAACAGAGACAAAAGCTTCAAGGCAGAATGCTTCAAAGCGTAATGAAAAATGGTGATGCGGTATATTGAATTTCAGAGGCCTAAATGCTGCAATGCTTTTTCAAAGTTCCCATTAAATGCTATTTCCCTTTCTTCAGTACTGGAAAATGAGGCTAGGAGGCTTTTAGGGGCAAACTGTGGCTGCTCCTGTGCTGCATCCCAGAAGAAGAGAAAGGCAGAAAGCATTGCAACAAGACTGGTGTGGCCGGGGCTGTAAGGAAGGGCAAGATATCGCTGATTGAAATGGAAGCACTGGCAGTGGAGGGGATTGCATGGGTCCAAAAAGAGCCATTTAAAAGCATTAAGTGCTTTATCTCATGGGCAGAGTGAGTCCCTTCCAAGCCAATAAAGGTAATGCATCAGGTTCTGGGAGCTCAAGCAAAATGTTTTCCGATGCTTCTGCATTCAGAAACCGGCGTGGGAGCTTTTCTGGTCCCATGGCACAGGGACCCCAGTAGATGGCAGTGGTTTTTCCTTATACAGTGCATACCTCTCTGATTTGGGAAGAAAACTGTACTTCCCTCCAGCCTATCAGTTACACATTTTTTTAAGTTAAAAAAAGGCTGGGGGGGGGGGGAAATCACACATCAATCTGAAGAACTAGCTCAAATAATGAAACTGCCAGAGTGGCATTTTTGAGAGCCACTGGAAGACACAGGAAAGTATTCACACCTCCAAAAGCCACTGCTCTGTGCTACAGGGGATTAGATGAGTGAGATGAATATTTGTCTAGAATATGGAAAAAATCTCTCAAAGCCTTCAGTGGGAATTGAAAGGGCCCGAAGGAACTGTTTTACACATAGAAATAAAGAGAATGTTTTAGAGACCACTGTGGATACCACATTGAACGGTAACTTTTCCACATTGCTATCTAATTTGGTGTATGACGGCTCTTTCTCATAGCTTATCATGTATATGCATTGTGGAAAAGCACATGACAGCTCTCATGACAGAGTGGGATTTTTTTCCTCAGCATACTTGTTCAAAAATGCATGAGTTTCACTACACAGACAGTAAAGTACCTTTTTATCTCTATAACTGTATAGGAAGTTACTTCTGACAGAAAACACTGTAATACAGAGACTTTCTTTTTTAAAATTTTCTATTATATTGGACAGAGAAAGAGTCTGTGATGAGGACCCCCGTCACTGCTGTTGTTCGGTATTAGCACTGCAGTTGCCTAAGCTGTCAGTGGTTAGGCACTGTTTAAACCCCCTATCCAAAACACCCCACGGTCCCTACCTGAAAGGCATCTCTCTCATCCTGTGGCACATAACAGATAAGCTACAGCCAGGTGACAAAAACCCAGGAAATTCTTGAGAGTGTGAGACAATGCTCACACATCAAACGGGGGGGAAAAAAAAAGATAAAGATACCTATCTTGGACAGAAAAATACTGTCAACAGAAATAAGGAAACATGGCAAGACAGGTAAAAGGCAGAGGTCAGCCTCAGATGATTGGAATTAATCATGCAGAAAAAAACCAGTATCCCTTTTATTACTGAAATAATTCTAATTCCCTTACGAGTGCAGAAATCCACCACTGAGGCAAAAGAATTAACCACTCAGACAGGATCATCTTGCTTTGCTAGTGCACCCTACACTAAATAGCCAGGGGCTGAGGTAGGAAAGAACAACTCACCAGTAAACCAGTGAAAACACTTTAAAAACCTGCACGTCAGAACTAACAACGCAAACTTGTGACTTTAACGTCCTGCTTTCACAGAGATACTCCTGTCGCGTCCTCTCCGGCTCACCCCTTCACTGTCAGCCTTATAACAAACACTGGCAAACCTCAGCAAACAAAAGCTGCGATTCAGGTGGGCAGCGGCGTGTTTAATCAGTGAGCGAGAGCTAGAAAAGGAGCTGCACAGACAGGTCTTCAGGAGAACACTGGTAATATCAAGAGACACTGGCAGGGGCAGGTACAAGCCATTTTTCTTTCCATCATGTAGCTGCATTCATGTCCTTCGAACAACCTTTCTGGGTTCATTATTAAACATTTGTCTTTCGATGTAGGTCATCGCTTCTGCAAGCCTACATTGATTAACACGTTTTAGGCTGCAGCACCTGCTCACAGGAACCCCTGGTTGGGTGCGTAATTCTTCAAACGCCGGAGATCCTAGCGAAAATGCCGAAACCGTTTTGATGACTCATTTGAGTCAATCGTCACCCCGTGCCTCTGAATTACAAGGGAAAACGAGGGGAGCATCAAGCGGATTGTATACATGGCTTTTCCCATTTTGCTGGGGATGTCACCAGGGAGCACAGGAGCAGCGCTCCTGCAGGGATCCACACGTTGGAGAAACGAGGTGGGATCTGAA